CTCTGAGCCCATTTCCGTGAGGGCGGCGCGGGGCCCGCGGTTCGGGCCCGCCCCAGGGGCGTTACCGGGCCCCGCCCACAGGGGGCGGTGCCGCCGTCCCATCGATCACTCGGCGCTCCCGCACTCGGGCGCGCCCCCGCGACCGCCCGGCGCGCGCCCGCCGCCCCCCGCTCTCAGCGCAGGTGAGTCCGGGGGTCCCGCTGGGCTCCCGAGCTGCGAGCCCCAGGAGGGCACGGGGTGAGGGGGCTCGGGTCACTCCCCGGCCCCGCTGCCTTTCCCTCCTGCGTCAGCCGCCCTTCCCGCTCCGCGGCTCCGGCCTGAGGGGCCCCTCCCTGCCGCACGCCCCTCGCGGCGCCCCGCCCCGGGGTGGGTGGGCGAGGGGCGGCCGCGGTGGGTCCCGGTCCCTGCGCCCACCGCGGGGGTCTCAGCCTGGCGCTGGGGCCTGGGGGTTCCCTCAGGGCCTCCCTCAGCACCCGGGCCGTTCGCCGCTTCGCACTCGCCGGGGCTCCCCGCGGCTCCCGCGGGGTCCGTCCCGCTCGGCCGGGCAAGGTGACCTTTCGCTTGTCGCCGGCACGCCGTGCGAGCCCACAGCTCTGTGCTGCCCGTGCCCCGCGTCCCCGGCGCTCCTTCCCGCCCGCGTTTGGGGCGCTGGAAGAGCCCCCCAGCTCCTCCGAGCGCCGCCCTGGCCCCGCCGCTGCCCGGCCCGCTGTGCCTCCCCCTGCGGAAAATCGCATCCTTTTATCGCCTTGAGACACGGCCTGCTTTGGGCTTTGCTTCTCACCCTGACAGTTCTTGTGCTGCGTGTGTTAAGGAAATTAAAACACTGTCATGTTTTTCTTCCCAGGGCACAGCAGTGCACTAGAGAGTTAAAAATATAAAAGCCTTAAAATATTGGAAAGAGTTGAAAGGTTACTTCTATCCCACGAGTTTAAGTTAAGGATGTCATGTACTTCGCTTACAGGTCTTAGGGTGACTTCAGGCATGGTTCGTGCACCGGAGGGTTTCAGTCACTGAGATGCTGATCTCTGTTCTGCTTAAATGTTTTTTCCAGGTCTTTGGTTCCAAACACCTGTAGATTCCTTTTTTTTATTGACTTTTTTTTTTTTTTCGGTGACAGTGTAACAAAGATGACTGTATAGGCTTTTGTTTGATCTTGAGTTTCTTGTCACTTTTATTAAAATAAAAACCTATAATATGAGCTGGTGGCCCAAGAGCACTAATGCTTAGTCTTTATTGTGTAGAATAATAGTATTGTTTTTGACAATTGTTGAGAAATTTTTCGAAGGTAAAACTGTTAAAACACATTTTCTGTGAAGTCATGTGGCTGAGTTGAATTGAACTTGCCCCTGCTGTTTTCTGTTTCCTTCTTCAGGACAGCACAGTTTCACTTTCAGCCTTTAGAAAAAGCCTTTCATTGCTTGCTTAATTCTGGTTATTTAATTTAACTATTAGTTAAATATTTTCACTGCCTTTTAAAAAAAGGAATAAAAGTTTAAATGGGGCTGCCTAAAGTCAAGCAAACCTCATAATGAGAAAACTGCATCTTAATGTAAAATTTAAAATGTGATTCTTAAAGCTGTCACTTTCTTCTATTGTCAGCTGTAAATAAAAGCTGTATCTTGCTTTTCTGCTTTGTAGAATTAAATTATTTAGCCAGGTATATGGGATTGAGAGAGCTTATTTTAAACACAAAATTGATACATTTATTCCATTCTAACCTCAAGAAATGGCCTGCATGCTTTTTTCATTACTGTACCAGGCTCACCCTGCCCTTGCAGGAGCTATGAGTAGTTTTGCAATTCAGTGGTTAAAAGGTTGAGCAGGGACTTTGGGATTTTAATGGCCTGATTACCACAGAAGTTGAGACAGAAGTGGCTGGAGAAGAGTGCAGGGAAATGTTCAGGAGTGTGACCAGTGGTGCTTCTCTAATGTAGCTTTTTCCCTCTTCAGTGCAATAATCTCTGCTGCCACTTTGAAAACCTATTGCAGTAACTGTTGATGAGCTATTTTTGGGGGCTTGTATCTGATTACTTCCCACACACAGTCTCTCCCAAAAAGGGGTTTGAGAAGAGTGAGTTGCTTCACAGATGTCGTGTAAGAATTCTACAAAAATACAGGAGGCTTCAGGTTGTTACTTTAGACCAGGCTGCCAAACCCAGCACGGTGAAAATACTGGCAGCAGAGGTCAAGGAGGCCAGTGCAAAATTCAGATCAGCATGGAATTTTGTCCTTTCCTTTTCTGGAGAAGGATTGTAGATTCACCTTGTTGATTATTGCAACAATATGTAATGTTTTGGTTAGAAAAACAATGGAATGATGAACTTTGTGTGCAAATGAGAGTGGTGTGTGATCACCAGGTCTCTGTGAAGCTGATTTGACCCTTAAAAGGCATGGGATAAAACTTCTTTAAGGTAGAAGTCAACCTTAGTGCTTTTACTTCTCTTCAGAGAGATCACAGTAAGAATTGAAGTGACAGTGATGTCAGCTCTGCAGGCAGTGCATATTTCAGACAATAATTTTCTTGTTTTTTTCTTTCAGACTGAGACTAATTATGGAAGAGAAATCCAGAAAATGACAGAAAAGCATTAATTTTCCTCTTCTAGGACAGTCATGTTGGAAGGATTGGTAGCCTGGGTCCTCAACACCTATTTGGGCAAATATGTCAATAACCTGAACACAGACCAACTTTCAGTGGCACTTCTAAAGGGTGAGGGGGTCTTCGTGGTATTTTCTGTACTGTTTTCATATTGTGACTTAGAAAAGTGTTATTTTTTTGTGGTAACTGGAAGATGGAATAGAAATAATCAATAATGTGTTTAATGTCTATATAAACCCTTTTAAATACAAAGTTTGGTGCTAGAACTTTACAATGAACAGTAAACGATCTTATGTTCTTTGTTCTTTATCAACACTCAAACCAATTTACATAAAATTTTCAAAAGTATGCTTAGCTATCTTAGCATGTTGAATTTATGTCATAGTGTTTATGATTTATATATCATACATTTATGATACTGTTCAGTGACTTTGCTGTTGAGGGACTGTGGCAGGAAGTGTCCTGCAGCCTCTTACCTTTTGGTACTTATAGTTACTCCCCTGTAATCTGGTTTGTGTCGTGCTGCATCCACGAGTTTTGAACTTTGTACAGAGTCCTCAAATCAATGCTTTCTGTTCACCCTTTCCTGCTGTTATTTGCTGCTTCAGGTGAGGATGTTTTGTAATACTCCAAGGCTTTTCTGTGTGTGCTTTTCACAATACTAAGGAAATAAGTATCTCTTTTGAAAAGACAATGAGGAGAGGTTTTGTCTGTGGCTGCAGCAAAGTTCAGATCTAAAACCCCACAGAAGATTGCTTCTGGATGACCTCATGTAATAGCTTGAGCACATGACATTGGAAAATTAACAAGTGTAGTAAGTAACCATTGTGATCTTAACACAACCTGAAGTGGTAGGTTGGCTGTTCTCATTAAATCCCATTTAATTAAAAAAAAATAAGAGATAGCAATGCCAGTTATTTTAGGCTTACAGTGTTCAAGTTGGCTTTCTTTAAGATAGTTTTATTTACCAGACTTGTCTTTTTCTTCTGCTTTGTATAGGTGCCGTTGAATTGGAAAACTTGCCACTAAAAAAAGATGCCTTAAAGGAGCTGGAATTACCATTTGAAGTAAAGGCAGGTTTGTATTTTGTTGTGTGTGCAGGACAGATATTTTCTAAACAGAAAGTGTTGCATGTTTTAGAGGACCTGTGAGTCAGAGGCTCGAACAAATCAGGTAGCCTGATTCTTAGGTTATTTCTGGTTTAGCTTGTTTGTTTCTTACACCACATTTTCTGTGAGGATTTTCAAGGGTGCTAAGTCAGTTTTCACAGGAATCTGATATTGTGTCTGTTTTGCTTATTTAGGTTTCATTGGCAAAATAACACTACAGATCCCTTTTTATCGTCCACATGTGGATCCATGGGTGATATCTGTCTCAAAACTGCACTTAATTGGTGCACCAGAAAAAAGAGAAGATTTCGATGAGGAAAGGGAAAAGTTGCAAGAAAGAGAACACAAGAAAGCCCTTCTGCTGGCACTTGAAGAAAAATGGAAGGTGAGTCATCTTGTGTTTCATGGTGAAGAAACCTCTGTGGTGGATGGGTTGTATTTGAGTCTCCTAACAAGAGAGAGAACAAATACACAGGAAATTGAGTTAGAATTTGATTTGTACATGCTGACATAGTGCAGTTTTTATCCTACCATCCCTTACCATTATGTTGTGTGTCCCACATATGTCAGAGATATGTAAATACCTTAAGTTAACTTGTGTAGTTTTTCTTTCTCCTTGTTAACAGTGATTTCAGTGTAACAAAGTATATCATCTCCTCACCA